TGTCTGTCCTTTTGGGTGGCCCGGTATTGCAGGTGGAGAGTCTCGCTCAGCAGGCACCAGTGAAAGTGGCCCCTGCTGTACCTTCACTGGGTGGAGATGAGCTCAGCCCCCTTGAGCCTGGGGGATTGGAAAAGCTTTTCTTTCCCGTGGAGAAGGAAGAGGAGGGAGAGAAGGTAAGTGTCTCCAGAATTCCAAGCCTAGAACTCCAACTCTTCCCTTCTTTGCTCCGGGATGTGGAAGGCGAGTAGCAGTTTTGGGGCATGCTCCATCCCAACCTTAGACTGAGGTTGTATCCACCCCGCCAGGATGACGGTTCTTCACGGAAGTGGCTTCAGCCCAGCTATTGTTTTCACCTGGTCCCCTTCCTTCTTGGTAAGTCAGGTCCTGGAGGGAATAGAGGTTACTCATGTGGTAACTGTTAAATCTGGGCATTTAGATACCCCTTCAGCCCTGACCCAGGTACACCCTGACCCTTCCCTGAGCCAGGCTAGGAAGAAAGCGGGAGTCAGCGGTAGTCAGAACCATGTGGGACCTGAACGGAAAAAAAGACTAAGATACCTTCTTCCCTGCCTCCTCCGCCCCTTTCCCTAACCCCAGGACGCGCATGCTTGGCGGCTGCATGGAGCCGCGCGCACTCGGGGCCGCGCTCAGCACCACGGACAGCGGCGGCTGGGGGAGGGGCGGGCGGCGTAGCCGGGCCCCTCCCCGCGCCCTGGGCGGGTCCCCCGCCGCCAGCCCTAGCGCCTCCGCCACCTCCCCGGGTTCGACGCTCTGTGCTCTTCTGGTGCTTTCGCCTCAGGTGCTGCTGAGGAAGCAGAACGGGACCCCGAGCTGGCAGCTCCGGGGGAAGATGCGGAGCCGCAGGCTGGGCCGTCCGCACGCGGCTCTCCAAGCCCCGCCGCCCCGGGGCCACCCGCCGGCCCTCTGCCTCGCATGGACCTGCCACCCTCCGGGCAACCCCTCCGCCATCCGACCCGAGCCCGGCCGCGGCCACGTCGCCAGCACCACCACCGTCCGCCGCCGGGGGGCCCCCAGGTAAGTGCTTCCCTTCCCCCTCGCCCCTCTTGAGGGTCATGTGTGGTCCACTCGCTCATCACTTGCGAGAAGACAGGAAGACGGGTTGTGGAGGCCCAAGGCCACCCGATTGCGCTCTATCATCTTCCTGGCCACCCTTAACCTCAGGCCAATGGCCATAATGGGCCGCTGATGTGAAGGTTTCGTGTGAGGAGCTTCTAGATGGTGGACTCCCACCTTGGAGTGACCGGTCTGCTGTATGGTTGAACGCATGAGAGCGGGTGTCCGCCTTGCCCTCCCTCTCCTGGGGTTACTGACAAATACTGGGCAGCTGGGCCGCGGGACACTCTTGCGTCTGCTGTGCACCAGCGGGTGGATGTATGTGTGGGCTGGGTACTGGCAAGGGTAGTGGGCACTGGCAGAAGGAGAGGAGGAGCCGGCCTAAGGCCCCCTGAGGGTCTGACGCAGCAGCAGCGCCACTGAGACCGGATGAGCGGCCGGGTGGTGTGGTGAGGAGGTGGAGAGTTAGGGTACTGCAGGGAACTGTTGGGAGAAGGGGTGGCATACTGGAATGTGTGACCCGTAGGTGTTTGCTTAGGGGATGGATGGCATCCTACGTGAATCAAGACCGGGTGTGCTATGACAGCAGCGAGGAATGAAACCCAGCCCCGTGCAGGCAGCCCCTAGCTCTGGGATGTACTCGGGCCAGGCCACTGGGAAGAAGTGGGGGTGGGGAAAAGTCACACTTCTCAGTCTTGACTCTTAACCTCCCAATGTCTCCCAGGTGTCCCCAGCTCTGCTTCAAGAAGGGAATGGGCTCACTGCTCGTGTGGACGAGGGTGTGGAGGAATTCTTCTCCAAAAGGCTGATCCAGCAGGACCGCCTGTGAGTGAGGTTCGGTTGCTGGGGGCAGCAGAGGGTGGGACATCCTTGAGTTTCTTCACTCACTGATGGTTGTTCCCACAGCTGGGCCCCAGAGGAGGATCCAGCCATTGAGGGTGATGCCACCCCTGTTCCCCGCACTCTTCGAAAGAAGCTGGGTACCCTCTTTGCCTTTAAGAAACCTCGTTCAACAAGGGGTCCACGACCTGATCTAGAGACCAGCCCTGGGGCAGCAGCTCGTGCCAGAAAAACCACACTTGGGGACCTGCTTCGACCACCAGCCCGTCCAGGCCGTGGGGAGGAGCCTGGAGGAGCAGAAGGGGGCACCAGCAGTCCTGACCCTGCTCGCAGAAACCGACCTCGGTACACACGAGAAAGCAAGGCCTACTCTATGATACTGCTACCAGCTGAGGAGGAAGAGGCAACGGTGGGCTCCAGACCTGACAAGGTGAGGCCTGGTGTCAGGGGCTAGGGGCTCTTTAGGAATAGAGAGCAGTGAGCTTTCTCCACTTAAAGCATCTGTGTCCTCAGAGGCGGCCTCTGGAACGGGGAGAAACAGAACTGGCTCCATCTTTTGAGCAGCGGGTACAAGTGATGCTGCAGAGGATCGGTGTGAGCCGGGGCAGTGGGGGTGCCGAAAGCAAAAGGAAGCAAGTGAGTTGAGGGGAGGGTGTGAACTGTGGGGGCAGGTGGCAATCTGTGGATGACATATGTGACTAAGAAGGGGGACACACATGGCACAGATCGAATTATTAGCTCATCTTACCCCTCAAAATAGTCATTTTTTTTTTTCTTCCTTGCTTCTGACCTAGCCCAGGTCACTGCTATGTACCTCCTAGCATGTAGGGAACTCCTTTCTCTGAAGATTAACAGAAATTTGATTTTGTTACCTATACCTCAAAGTCCTCCAGGAGCTTTCTCCCTATCCAGATTCTTAATCCTGCTGCAAGGTCTTATAGGACCGTGGTCCTGGCCACCTTAGACCCCCCCTGTTCTCCTTTGGAGCATCTCAGAGCCTCATATGCTGTTGGTTTATATCCTCTGTCCTGTGTCTGGTCGTGTACTAGGTTATACAGGTTCCTTTTCAGCTGTCCCCGCAGTTTCTTGTGGGCCTTTCCTGACGCCCTTCCTGGTGTCACTGTAAGCATAGTGTTTATTAGGAACCACACCCCTGTGTACCGTCCACTGAAGCGCTTTTTGGGAAAAACATATGCAACGAGACCTGGCCTGAATGCAGACATTAATGTGTGGAAAGAGTCATAGAGCTAAGGAGCCCTGTTGTCTCCTGGATGTGGTGGTAATCTCAGCATTTAGGAAGCTGGGGCAGGAGGACTACAAGTAAGACTAGCCTGAGCTACGCACTGAGGCTAAAGAACAACAAAATCAAAGAAATCATAACATCTACCTGTCATGACTAAAATGCACATTTTTGTGTGTCAATTATGTCATCCCAGACTGTAAGGTCAGCGGTTGGGGACTAGGTTGCCATGCTCTGGCCAGCCCATGCTATGCATTATGTAGCTAGGTTTTAAGAACATGAATGAACAGAGACAAGGCTAGAGGCAGGGCAACAAGGCTAAGGTCTGACAGATTTGTTTTCTACAGAGCAAAGATGGTGAGATCAAGAAGGCAGGCTCTGATGGTAAGTAGGACCCTGGAACAAAGGAATATATTTCTTTGGGGAGGAGGTGGCCTTAGAGATAGTCCCTAAAGTACTTGCTCTCCTAGGGGAGAGAGGGCAGGCTGCTGCTTTTCCTCCCTTCAGCACCAAGGTATGATACATAAGCCTCTAATCCTATCTTGCAGGTGACATTATGGACAGTTCCACCGAGACCCCTCCTATCTCAATCAAGTCCCGTACCCACTCTGTGTCTGCTGGTGAGTGAGGGACACTGATTATGGTAAGGGAGGCACAAGGACCAAGAAAAGGGGGATCATCTCCACAGCCAGGCTCAGGTGTTAGCTGATCCTTGTCTCTCCACCCAGATCCCTCATGTAGACCTGGGCCAGGAGGCCAGGGGCCTGAGTCTGCCACCTGGAAGACACTGGGCCAGCAGCTGAATGCAGAGCTCAGGGGCCGTGGTTGGGGCCAACAGGATGGTCCAGGGCCCCCCTCCCCATGTCCCAGCCCAAGCCCCCGAAGAACCAGCCCCTCCCCAGACATCCTCAGTCTCCCAGAGGACCCCTGCTTGGGCCCTAGGAATGAAGGTAGGTTGGCACTCCACTCCTAGGCTGGGACTGGTACACTATCTCCCGGGAATGTAACACTGAAAGCGGGAGGCAAAGGCTGGGCGTGGGCAGCTATTGGGAACATACCCTGATTATCTTGGCCTCCTCTAGATGGCCAGCTGAGGCCGAGGCCTCTCTCGGCAGGGCGGCGAGCAGTGTCTGTGCATGAGGACCAGCTCCAGGCCCCTGAGGGTGAGGGAGACACCTCTATCTGTGCTTGAGTGCAGGAGAAAGGGGGAGGGTGGTCTTGGTTCTGGTCCTTGGACCGGCCACTAGTGTTGTAAGTACTGGAGCAATCAGGAAGCCCAAAGGCGTAGTGCAAGAGGGGGCAAGCCTTTCCTCCCAGACCTGGCTCCACCTCCTGAAGACTGACCTCTGCTAGGGTGGGAGGACACCAGAGAAGCTAGGGGAATAGCATGTGCTTGTTTTTGCGTGCACTATAGGCGTCCACTTTTAGAAGGCTTGGGGACAGCCTGGCAGTGAGTTTCTCTGTATCCTTTTCAGAACGGCCCCTGCGGCTGCAGCGCTCCCCTGTCCTCAAGCGGAGGCCGAAGCTTGAGGCACCCCCATCCCCAAGCTTAGGTAAGAGTGGGCAAGTTGGGGAGATGACAGGATTGATGCTCAGCACAAGCCAAGAATTTTCTCTCTCCATCTCCCCTCACAGGCTCTGGCCTTGGAACCAGGCCTCTTTCTCCATACCCCACAGAACCCTCCAGCCCTGAGCGGAGCCCTCCCTCCCCAGCCACAGACCAAAGAGGCGGCGGCCCCAACCCCTGATCCTCTCTTCTCCTGCCGCATGAAATTATTTTATTAAAAAACTTGAATGAAACAGAGTATGGGATAATGTTTGTCCGTACACCCGTGTGTGCACATCCTCTGACAGGTCCAAGTGACTCCTCAGACCTGTGTTAACTCAGACTCTGACTCCATCACCAAGTTCAAGGCCCAAGCTACCAGGTGAGGAGAGAGCCTGGAAAGAAACCATGGCCATGGGTCAGGGTTACCTAAGACTGGTAACCACCACAGGCAGGGCAGCCCCAAACACTCACCTGACAGTTTGGACCTGAGCATGGAGGGAGGCAGAGGGTGGGTCGTATTTATACTGGAAAGCAGAAGCATCATGATGCCTCTTTGGAGGTTCCTGGAAGGGGTAAAGAATCTAGAGAGGGTCCAGTAAGGACCCCTAATGCCCCCCAAGTCTCTCCAAGCTCTACCCAAGGCCCTCCCACATCTTCACTTCCAGTTGCAGAGCTCACCCAGACAGAGCAGGGCTCCTGGGCTGCCTTGGCTCCAGTTCTTGGAAAAAGCTGCCGTTTCTTGATGGGCCTCTGGCACTCCTTGATCTCCTGGTTGTGAACCTGGGCTCTGGTCACGAAGACCTGGTTTGCTCTGGGGGCATGGCTAAGGGGTGAGAGACTCGGGGTGCAGGTCAGGAGAGGGGAGCTGGGTGTAGAACTGCAGGGTGAAGAATTGGGGGCTTCACATATTGGGGGGGTTGAGCAAACAGCTGGTAGAGGCTGGAAGCTGCTCTTCTGCCCAGGGTCCGATGTAGCCAAGGCTGACAGAAGGCTAACACTGGCACCACTTTCCTCTAATGGTATGTGGCCAAGGGAATTGGGGGTTGCTGGGAAAAAGGAGACTGAGTGTGAGCACACACCTTTCAGCTCAGGACAGCCCAGTGCTTGTGAGCATTTCACAGTATTCTACACAGTCCAGTAATCTGACTGATAGTGTTGAGTGCTTATGGCCTGAAACAGAGGGACTGGGTGAAGGACAAAGATGGGCCCAGTCTCCTGCACTGGAAGGCAGGTGACCCGAAAGCCCTCAGCCTTTCTCTCCATCAATGCTGTAGTGGGCTCTGGGCTCCACACACTCCACTTTTGGACCTCTCCAGTTCTCCTTACCCTGTACCTTCTGATTTGAGTCGATAGAACTCAGGATTTTCTCCTCATTCTCAGAGATGTGCAGCAATAAGCTAGACACAGTGAACACAGCTTCTCCCTGTGGGACATAAAATCTCAGCACAGCAGTTGCCTAACCCTCACCCTGAAACCCCCACCAAGAAAATCCCAGTACTGACCGTGGCCTGGCAGCAAGAGGTAGTCCAGTGAGTGAGGGGGGTTGTTGTGCAAGGGCCTGCTAGCACCAGGCAGCTCTCGGCTAGACGCACCAGTGCCCCTCGATGATCCTGGTCCTCCTTCACCTCATCCAGAAGCTGAGACAGTGTCAGGCCTGGGGCCAGGGTTTTGGCCAAATGGTTGAAGTTGAAACAAGAAGTAAGGGTAAGACACTACAGTTACTTACTGAGGAAACAGCATTGCTAGCAGGGAGTTAGGTAGGGTTCCTGGGAAACCCCTACCAGTACCTGCACTGGAAGAAGCAGACTCTGAAAGGTGGTCCCTGGGGAAACAGAGTAAACACTTCTTAGGAACAACCCTGATGCCAATCTACCCAGCTCCGACACCCCTGACCATACCACACCGCAGCCTCAGGGCCCAACCTCAGACTCACTCAAGGCAGTCATTGAGCTTCTTCTGCACATCTGAATCCTGGTTGCTGGGAGAAAGAGGAGGGTGGTAGGTAATCATGGTGACTGACAACCAAGCCCCCTCACCCAAATATCTATGCCAAAGACAGTGAAGAGGCAGAGGATGGAAGCTTCATGTAACTGTTTTGTTTGGGGGGGGGGGTCATGGAGAGACTTAGATTGAACCCCTCAGGGCGTCAGGCATGCTAAGCTACATGCCCTTCCACTGGATGGCTGACTTACCAACCAGTCACCTGGACCCGGGGCTGCTCCATGGGCAGCAGGTTAAAGCGGTCCACCTGGAGGTAGAACTCGGCAGGCTGGAGGGGTTAGGGAATGGTGTCTCAGGAGCTGTGAGGAGCTGTGAGGCACAGGAACCGATCCCGCCCAAGTGAGTCCTACACACACCTCATGGTCCTGAGCAATCTGAATGCGGACCTCGCAGACCTGCAGCAGCAGGAGCCGGCCCTCTGTCCCGCGGAATCCGAACTCTTTCTCCTCCCTGCAGCGAGCACAGCCCTCACTGTCCAGAGCCCAGGCACAAACATATCCCACAGTTCTGGGGAATGAGCTTACCCCCGCCTCTCCAGCACCCGCCCACCTCAAGTTCAACCTCGCACTGCCCTGCTGGGAGCTCCCACCTTCTTCCATAGACGTAACAGCTCTCTTACCAGTCGGAGGTGTCGATGGCGTTGCGCGTCACCACGCATCGGACACTGTGAGTTCCGTCTGACACGAGCAACACGGCCCCGGTGTCAGGGATGTCAGGGGCGGAGGATGGACCCGGGGTCTCCGAGTCCTGGAGTACCTAACATTAACAGTGGCGGCTAGTGTCGGTTCGCTTCCTCAGCCTCCACCCGGGGCTCTGGGATCTGACTGGCCTGCTCACCTTGAGCAGCTGCCCGGCTCGTGGACTTGACAGTGTCTCCGGGCCCAGGATCAGCTCTCGAATCCAGGGCCGCAGGACCAGCCTCCCCGACTCCGACATCAGCGCGGCGGCACCCTCGGAGAAGCCCCTCCGGGCAGGCGCTTCCCGCGAGCACCGCCGCCCTGTGTCTGGTTGGAGAGAGGAAGCACGTGACCGCGAGGCGGAGCCTAAGTTTGAGGCCCCGCCCGCTCGCGCTTCTGCACCCGCGCAGGCGCTTCCCGGGGGCGTAAGGTCTATGGTGTTCGGCCAGCTAGTCGGGCTCCTGTCTGCTGCCTGCTCTTTCTTACCGGGCCATCTCTCTGAGCCCGTGAGCTGTTCCTCAGTAATACTCTAGCACCGGAAAGGAAAGGGCAAGGGCTGTCCTGGATGGGAGCGAGCCAGGTTAGGAGGCTGCAGTCGAGACTAGGGCTTGAAGCCACTTCGGCGCTGTGTGACCTCGAGAGGTTTCCCAAAACGTTGATTTAGACTCCTCCGCAAAACGCGCGGTCTTGTGAGGCCAATGGAAATGACAGCACAGACGCTTAATAAGGGTTAGTTCCCTCATTCTGCCCTCGGATTGGTCGAGTCCTCTTCAGGACGCTCGAACCATAGCGTAATGACGTAAGAGCAGAGGAAGCCCTAGGTACCTCGGTCTCCGTTTCCTAGGAAACGTAGACTCCGCGTTTCTCGGTGTCGCGTCTCCCTTGACGTCATGGTTTGGGCGGGAGGGCGGGGCGAGTGCTACCGCCAGGGGCGGGGCAGCGCGGTCCAGCGGGCCGGGCAGTGCACCTGCGCCTCGGCGGGCTGCCTTGGGGCACTGTCCCCGGCCCGCCAGGCCCCGCAATGGCCAGGCCGCAGAGGACTCCAGCGCGCAGTCCCGATAGCATCGTCGAGGTGAAGAGCAAAGTAAGGGTTCCTCTGGCCTCGGCTCTGGCCACTGCGCTAGGCGCTCCCAATTCCCTTTTTCTCCCTTACTGGTTCCTTGGTCTCCATCACCTCTTTCTGTCCTCCATCCTCCGCATCCTATTCTGCTTTCTCTGTCTGCCTCTCCTCATCGCACCCTCCCTCCCATTATGGACCTCCAGAGTCCCGCTGTGGCCTTGGGTGTATGGAGAGCAAGGAAAAGACCTTGGACAATGTCCCTCGTTTGGGAACTGAGGTTCAGGCTTAAGGCTGCAGCTGTGGTAGCAGCCTTTTCCTCACCTGGCAGCGTCAGACCTGTAGGGAGAAGGGCTCGGGCTCTATCCTGACACTCTTCTCCCTGCCCCTCCTGCCTCCAGTTTGACGCCGAGTTCCGGCGCTTTGCACTGCCCCGCACTTCAGTGAGAGGCTTCCAGGAGTTCTCGCGGTTGCTGTGTGTGGTACACCAGATCCCTGGCCTGGATGTTCTGCTTGGCTATACGGATGCTCATGGCGATTTGCTGCCCCTCACCAACGATGACAGTTTGCACCGGGCCCTGGCCAGCGGACCCCCACCACTGCGCCTATTGGTCCAGAAGCGGGGTGAGGATGGGGTTCAGTGGGCAGCTTCTTTGGGGTAGGGTGACAGGGCAAGTCCACTAGGGTTATTAGCCCATACCAAGGGCTCCCAGGCTTCACCTTCTGCAGCCTCTGCCCTTGGTATGACCTCCAAGTAGTAGGAAGCAGTTGACATTGGTCCTATAAAGGGCCCAAATGGAAGAAGACTCTCTAATCCTAATTACCCCATTTTCCTGCAGCAGAAGGTGACTCCAGTGGCCTGGCCTTTGCCTCCAACTCTCTGCAGAGGCGCAAGAAAGGGCTTCTGCTACGACCAGTGGCACCTATTCGTACCAGGCCACCCCTGTTAATCAGCCTGCCCCAAGATTTCCGCCAGGTGTCTTCGGTCATAGACGTGGACCTGCTACCTGAGACCCATCGGCGTGTGAGGCTGCACAAACATGGCTCAGACCGTCCCCTGGGCTTCTATATTCGAGATGGCATGAGTGTTCGTGTGGCTCCCCAGGGCCTGGAGCGGGTTCCAGGGATCTTCATCTCCCGCCTGGTACGTGGGGGCCTGGCTGAGAGTACAGGGCTGCTGGCAGTCAGTGATGAGATCCTCGAGGTCAACGGCATTGAGGTGGCTGGGAAGACCTTGGACCAAGTGACGGACATGATGATTGCCAACAGCCATAACCTCATTGTCACTGTCAAGCCCGCTAACCAGCGTAACAATGTGGTACGAGGGGCATCTGGGCGTCTGACAGGGACTTCCTCTGTAGGGCCTGGGCCTACTGATCCTGACAGTGATGATGACAGCAGTGACCTGGTCATTGACAATCGCCACCCTCCCTGTTCCAATGGGCTGACTCAGGGGCCCCTGTGCTGGGACCTGCAACCTGGCTGCCTACTTCCTGGTGCTGGCAGCTCTCTGCCCTCTTTGGCTAGCCGAGAGCAAGCCAATTCTGGCTGGGGGAATGGCATGCGGGGCAACGTTAGTGGGTTCAGCCTCTGATGGCCAAAGGTGCCTGCCACTTTAGGCTGCTGGAATGTGGCCTGGACTTCCCAGTCAAGAGGGAAGAATAGCGAGCTCACAGTGCCCTCGCAGCCAGGGGAACATTAAAAGGTTTTTTTTTTTTATAAAGGTTGATATACGATCCCTCTGTGTCCCTAACCTCTTCTCTGTTCCTGTAAGTCAGCCTTCTTCCCTGGACATAAGGCAGGACGGGATAAGGGCACAGGAGAGATCTTCCTGTGACTATGCAGCAGGAAGCCCACCGAGCTTGGCATTTCTAAGACAGCTCCTATGAAAATAGCCACTGTGTACAAAAGGTTTAATTTTGACAAAGGAGTTGCAAGGCAGGTGGCCCTTCTGCAGCCACTGGTGAGGAGTAAGTGCTTTAAAGAAACTGCCCACCCCAACGCTCCTGTCCCTGGGCTGTGACAGGGCTTGAGCCTGCCCTTTACAGCCGTGAGGTGACCCTCAGCAAGGATCTCCCCATCACTCTACCCACAAGGGTAGAGTGTGTGGGAGGGTTAGGTATCCATCTTCACAAAGACTTTGGGTCGGGAAAAGATCTTGATAGCCTCTTCTATTTGTACCAACTTGCGGTCCAGTTCAGCACGGTGACCCTGGGCTCTCAGGGTGTCAGCCCCAGCAGGAAGTAGTACTAGCTCACGTAGCAGCTGGCTCTGGCCTGCAAGAGGGCACGGAAACAATTGAGACTTGGGTAGGGATGCATGGTCCCCGTGGGCTCCCTGTCAGACATCCTTGGCCCAAGTACTCACTCTGGAGCAGATTGTTCAGCGTCTCTAGCCGCTGACTCTCAGGCATGAGTGTGTGGCCAGGGGGCATGGCTGGGTCTGGCTGGCTGTGCTGGCGAGCTTCAGCCTCCCTCCGCCACAGATCCCTACGCTCCAACAAGCTGTGAATGCACAGGCCTAGGGTTGACCACACCAAGGCAAACTGGTCCCCACCCTTCCCCGGGTCCCTCCCCATACTTGTGTGCCCATAGGACCTACTAGTGGGGCACATGGCCTTTCTGTGTGGCATTGTAGCGTTCCTGGGCTTGCCGTTGCTGTTCCAGAACCTGTGCAAGGACCTGCAGCGAGCGGGAATGGCGCCGGGGGGCTCTCTTGGCGGCTCGGGCATTGTGACTAATGAAATCCACACCCAGGCCTGGCCCCTGCGGAGACATGGCAAGCATGGTGGGGAGCCTGTAGCGCTGTGTTGTATCTCTCTGTATCTCACCTCATGACTCCTGGCCAATGGCCTTCTAGTCCCCACAGACCCTCTCACCTTAGCTTTGGGGCCTGGCAGGGTGAGCTGAGGACTGGAGACACGGGATGGTGGCAGACCAGGGCCACAGCGGGAGTGTGCCCGCAGGAAGTGGGCAGGCTCCGTCACAGAGGAAGGGCCAGGCTCCTGGAGGGTAGGGTACGGTAGAGGAATCAGGGAGGCTGAAGTTGGGTTCTAAGCCACACAATCATTCCCCTTTCTGTCCCTCCTTCCTCTAAGTACCTTTCTGTGCTCATCTCCTTGAAGGAACACTTTTCAACATTTAAATATGCTTGTCTCTCACAGCTTTAAAGAAAACAAACTACTTCGCCATCTGCCTTCACCCTCATTCAGCTACCATCCTTTTCTCCTCCTGAACTAAGGTTTCTGGCTCTATCACCCCAAAGTTACTGAGGGCTGCTTCCTTAGCCACACTGTCCTCAATTTAATTGTCAATAACACTCTGGTCTCACCAATGAGCTACTGAGCTGTGTCTCCATCTGCTCCCTGGACACGGTCCTACCCCCTGGCAGTCTCACAGACGCTTAGGCCTGAATACAATCTCATGTGACCTTGTCTTTTCTCCCAATCTTGCATCTCTTTCAGGGCCCCTGGATAGGGAAATGGTAACTACCACCAAAACCTAACTGCTGCCCACTCTGTCCTCAGAAACAAATGTTGCAAGGAATGGTGGTACATGGTTACAGAACCAGGACTCAGGAGGCTGAGGTAGAAGCACTGACAGTTTGGGGCCAACCTGGGTTACGGAGAGAATTCAAGGACAGCCTGTGGCTAAACAGCAAGCTACCGTCTCAGAAAGAAAGGAGCTGGGAGTGGTGGCCCTAACCTATTAGCTCCACACCTGGGAGTCAGAGGCAGGAGGAGTATTAAGAGTTCAAGGGCAGCCTGGGCTACATAGACCGTGTCTTGATAGAAGGTTGTGGGGCCACGGCAGGGGGAGGGGAGACTGGATGGATGGCTCAGCAGTTAAGAGCACTGGATTCTTTTCCAGAGAACCTGGGTTCCATTCCCAGTATTACAGGGCAGCTCACAGCCCTCCAGTTCCGGGAGATCTGACGCCCTCTCCTGGCCTCTGTGGTGCACAGACATACATGCAGGCAAAACACCCATACACATATATATATATTTTTTTAATCTCAAAAATTTTTTAAAAGAAAAAGAAGAGAGAATCTAGTGTGGTAGGGACACCTTTAATCCCAGCCCCGGGAGCTGGAGAAAGGAGAGTCAGGAGTTCTAGGGCCTGCTTCTAACTGTGTGGTTTCATGTCTATGGAAAGTTCTCTTCCCCAGCCTAATTCTCAACTGCCCTAATGCCATCAGCTCCTCAGACAAGGTCCACCCCAGATGTCTTAGTCTTTTGTGATCACACCCCCCCCCACACACACACACACACACCCTGTTAGTTAGATCAGGGTATAACTACTTGTTAGCCAAAATGGAAGGCATGTCTGGCTCCCGGGGGCAGATACCTTCATCCTGGCCTTGACTCGAGACTCCACATTGTCATATTTGGGTGAACGCCACAGTGCCTTCAGGGGCTTAGGCTGGCCCTGCTCCCGCCTGCGTTCCTGATCTTGGAAGCGCCTCTGAATCTCTCTGATCCGCTTCAAGTTTTCCTTCTCATGGTCTTTTGGATCCTTCCCTGGGGGGAAAATGTTGCTAGGGACAGCCCTACAAATGGCCGTGCAAACAAGATCACACGTAGACTCACACCCTACCCTTTGCAGAAAGACTTCCCAGACAATCTGGTAGATGTCTAGTATATGTGAGGCCCTGGGTTCAATCTCCAACATCACACACAAAAAAGTTTAAATACGACCAAGTCCTCTCCGTGTAAGTTAAACTCCATATACACAGCACCATTACCACTTCATTCGCTTACACGGTATTCCTTTTGGTTATCTTCTGCATTTTACAGTGAAATATACCATTAATCATCTTGTACATTATACTCATGTCATGTCTTTTGTTTATTGCCTCCAACTTTTGAAGCCTGTTGTTTGTTTGTTTGTTTGTTTGTTTAATAGCTGTGAGGCTTCGCACAACGTAGACGCTAAGTAAGCAATGTCCCCTCAAGGTGTGGACGCTTGAAGCTAGGGCTTCCTGCAGGACGAACTCTCATCCTGCCAGGAAGTAGTGCGTTTCGCCCTATGCTAGAGAAACGAAGACCCGGAAAAGCACATTAATTGCCTGGGCCCAAGGCAATCAAGACACATCCTATTTTAATCTCTGCTTTTGACCTCCGAATGTCTCAATACCCCTTCTGCAAAGACTTACTCTTAGGAGAGACCCCTGAACCAAGGGAGATGGCCCCCAGTTGCAGCAGCACGTCGCCCACGCCTCGCTGGCCACGCGCCAGGATCTCTCGGGCTTCCGGCCTGATGCGGGGCCCACGAAGCGGACTGGAGTCCAGGTCTTGACCTGAAGTCAGCAGGTCCAGCTTCAGCGTGTTTCCTTCCAGGCGTCCTTGGGCTGAGGAGCAGGACGAGGTGCAAAGCCGTGCTCAGTGGCGGGGTGGGGCATTCGCACCGCCGCGAGACCCCACAACTCACCCGAGGCCGGTCGGCGGTAGTACTCCGGGCAGAGCGTGGGGTCTGGAGGGATGGGTCCAGAGATGCGGGACGGGCCCTCGCACATGATCCTACTGCAGTCCTGCAACCGTGCACCAAGGCCTGGTGCGCGGTGCAACGCCAACCCCTAACTCCTATCCGGGGATTCCACCCTCCCCCGAGCCCTGCAGCCCCCACCCCTCGACTCCCGCCTGTCCCCTAGGCTCAACCTGCACCGCCTCCCCGCGACCGGATCCTAGCCTAGTGCCCAGAGGGGTTCGCAGTCCTTCCCCCGCAACGCCCCGGTGGGGCCTCTTACTGAAGCAGTTTTACCGCCAACTGTTGCAAGCCGGCGGGAGTTGCTGTTGCTTGGCAACAAATGGCTTTCTGAGGTCAGGGGTCAAATGACTGAGGCGTAAAGCCTTCTGGGGTTTGTAGTTCCATTTGAAGATCGCGTTACCAGTCTCGGGTCTCCCCTACCAACCCTGAGTACACCAGTCCAACCCTCCGCTGGGCCCACCGTCCTCTCCTAGCGACCGTCGAGGGATGCATTGATTCTGCACAGCCATGGCCTCAGCAGGGGCCAAGAGGCAGCCAGAAACCCAGAATGGGGCTGAAGTAGGGTCAGCCCAGATTGCAGAGATCCCTGAGGTGACTCAGGCATTTCAAAGTGGAGGGGTGGGGCAAGAGCAGTGGTACTCCAACCCTCTGCCAGGCCAAGCCCTGCAAGTAGAGGGACCTACGCTGGTAGCCTTCATGTCTTATTTTGTGGCCAAACTGTGCTTTGAATGGCTGATCCCTACAGTACTTTACCTGGCCATTAGCTACTAATCACCTCTGTGTATCTTCCAGTGTCCAGGAACAGGAGAAAATTGTCAGGTGCCAGCACATGAGGCCTGCAGAACTCCAGGAGACCCGTGTCCAGTAGGACACAGCTTGATAGCAGAGCTCCAGGAAGAAGGCACAAGCCTGGGAGAGGAAGTGCTCAATCCAGGGGTGGAAGCAGGAGAAGACAGAGGACCCAAGCCTACATCATCCATCGTGAGGCCCAGTCATGGGCCCAAGAGAAAGCCTATCAAGTGAGAGGGCTTTCAGAGGGAAGGGCTGGGGAGGTGGGTCTCACACACGAAGATGCCTAACTCCTGATTCCTTCAAGGCAGAGATCCTTGTCTTCTGCTACTACCACCACTCCCAACTTCTGCTTCTCTAGAACAGGGCTGTAAGGGGAAACATTCTATATGTTTATCTGGAGCTTCCTGGTCTTGTAGGGGATTGAGTTTCCTTGAGTGCTCTAAGCTCTAAGCCTCTATTGGGCTTAAAGTTCCACTGACCAATAAAGGGACAGCTAAGGAGCCCTGGGGTTGGTGGACAGCCAGGGCTAAACCCTAGGCTCAAGACCCAGGAACCAAAGACTGAAGCCTGCCTCTTTCAGGCCTCTTGTCCCAAGTTTGGGTACCCCAGCCCTCCCAGGGCCAAGCTACCATGCCCATCCTAGGGCTGAAGCTGAACTGCCACCAGGGCTACCACTGCAGAAGGAGGAGCCAGAGGGCAGCCACAGTGAGGCCTCACTGTCTGCTAAACAGCACAAAAAAGCCAAGAAACGCAAGAGCGTAGTGGCTCCCGCGGCCCCAGCCGTGGCCAGCACATCGGCACCCACAGAGACCTTGGGGCTGGAGCGTGAGTGGCAATCCTGGGCTTTCCTTGTTTTCCTTGTCTTTGGGGTCTGGCATGGCACAGCCTGGTGCTCCAGCCTTTGCCTTGCCTTGGGTTCTTGTAGGAAAAGCCCAGCGCCTTCGGCCACTGTACCAGTATATCAACTATTGCAACCCTGAGCTGAACCAGGCGGGGGATGGAGACAAGGAGATGGAAGTAGAACCTGAGTTGGACTTAACCCTTGTTCCTGAGGAGGCCGGTGTGGAACAGCTGCAGCTGCAGGCCTTGCTGCCTGTGGCAGGTGAGCTGGGCTTAGGCCTTGCCTTGCCCTGCCCTAACACACTAGTGCCATTCCCTAATGTGCCACTCACCCACACCCTCCCTTCTCTGGGAGAGGAGGCTGTAGAGGAGCCTGGAGGTGTGTCCAGTCTCCGGGTGAGTGGCAGCCTCAAGGCTGAGGTGGATAAGACAACCCAAGTGGATATTGACAAGATGTTGAGTGTCTGTGCTGCTCCTCTTGTGCCCCCTCTCTCCCCTCAGTACAAGTGACCCATCTGCCCACTGGGAATGTCCCTCCTCTAGGCCTGAACTGTGGCTGTAAGCCTAGGCCACCAGGTAGAGGAAGTACCTTAGTCTTTGTATCTGGGAACTTGTGCTCACTGAAAATAAACATTTCCCCCTTTTAAGACTGTGATTCCTCTAATATGATGCCTGACTTGGGAAAGAGGCGAGGGAGAAGGAGGAAAGATTCACCCATGCAGCTTGTGAGGGCTGACTGGTCATTTGGATCGGCAGGAACCTTGACAAATGACAGATCTGCCTGGGAGTGGGTGACGTTGTGTGAGAAAACTTCTCTAGGGTGGGTGCAACACTCACATCCGCTCTCCCCTGACAGAGAGCCCAGGACAAAGTGCATTTACCACCCCAGTCCAACTTGGTGAAACAATGACTTTTAGTGGGTTTACTTACAGGAGCAGAAATGAAGACATCTGCTTTACCAAAGCCCACCTTAACATGAGTGACAACAGGTGGGACCCTGGAACACAGTGCGTACCCTAAAGGTAGCTAAACACCTTGAAAATCATCCTTTCCAGGGATCTCAGTTGGGTTTAACCTCTTGCAGGCAGCTTGGCTGGATTCTGCTTTGCCCAGGCCCCAAGTCTTCCCTCCAGCCCAGCTTCCTTCTGTCTGAGAGGGAGTTTATTGTTTACTATGGCAAGGAGGTGCCTAGAGAATCTGCTCAGTTTCTGGGAATCCCTTAAGCTATTTTGAGTTGTTTACTTTCTGTTTAAGGAGCTTCCTGCAGGAGGAAACTGCTACGTAACAGAGATAGGTAGACATGTTGCCCAGCTCTGTGTAGTGTCTTGGTGTCTGACTGAGGGTCATACGGCCTAATGGTAAGAGATGAATTAAAGGTGAGGGATAGGAACTATGACCGAAGGAAGAAGAGTATTAGGAAAACATTGTTTGGTCCTACTGCCTGACTCTTGAAGAAGGGTCTACATTTGTCCTGACTTCAAAAGGATCAAACCTGAGATCTCCCTCTGAGGTGGCAAAATTCATTTGTCTGTCCCAAGATTGGCAGTTTTATAAAGCTTATTACTAACCAGGTGTATACCTGTGGCAGGTGAGCTGGGCCTTGCTTTGCCCTTGCGTTTGGGAGATAAAGGCAGGTGGACAATGAGTTAAAGGCCAGCCTCATTTGCATAGTTAATTCAAGGCCCCTGTGTATGCTACCGGAGACCCTACCTTTAAAGAAAAGGGGAAAGGGAGCCAGGCTTGGTGATGTACACCTTTAATCCTAGGACTAAGAGGCAGAAGCAGGTGAATCTCTTGAGTTTGAGGCCAGCCTGATCTATAAGAGTAAATTCCAGGAGCCAGGGATACACAGAGAGACCCTGTCTCAAAAGAAAAAAAAAAAAAAAAGAGATGGGGGAGGGGGAGAGAGAGAGAGAGAGAGGAGAGAAGAGAAGAGAAAGCCGGGCAAGATGGCACATGCCTGTAATCCCAGCACTCTGGAAGATGGAGGCAGCTGGATCTCTTGTGAGTTCGAGGCAAGACTGGTCTACAAAGTGAGTTCCAGGACAGCCAAGGCTACACAGAGAAACCCGTTTAAAAAAAAAAAAAGAAAGAAGGAAGATGGGAAAGGAAGGAGAGAGAGAGAAAGGGCTGCAGAGATGGCTCTGGTTAGCAACACTTGCTAGGCTGGGTGGCGGCAGCACACTTTACACCCAGCAGGTGGGTCTCTGAGTTTGAGGACAGTCCGGGCTACACAGAGAAACCCTGTCTGTCTTGGGGGAGAGAAAAAAAAAAAAAAAAAAAAAAAAAAACCTTGCCACTTTTGCAGAGGACCCAGGTTCAATTCCCAACACCCACATGGCGGCTCACTCCTGTCTACCCCCTGCCCCAGTGGATCCAACACCCTCTTCTGGCCTCTGCCTGCACCAGGCACACACTGCAGTGTACAGACAGACATACATGCGGGCAAACACTCACACATACTTTTTAAAAAATGCTGTCCACTCATTGTCCTAGCACAGCCAGACTACGCTTTGCCCACACATAGCCTGGCGTTGAGTGGTGGTGACAGCGAATGCGTTTCTTGGAGCTGTCAGGCGCCCTCACCGGATGACTGCTGCCTCTGGCCCCACAGACAGCCCTCTGGAAGGAGCACATGAGTGAGGAATATTATGGAGCCTAGACTGCTGCTCCTCCCGCATGTCCTTCAAACACTTCGACATGGAGTTTTCCACATGAACTGCATTTCTTCCCTATAAGCAAGCTAAGATCTGACCAGTGAATCTACCCTCTCAACTGAAGCGGGTCAGCATCTGTGCCAGGACCTCAGACCTCTCTGGGGAGGACCCTCAATGGTTCCCCCTTCCTGTGGGGTCTGGTCTCACAGATTCACACAGTAATCCTGCCGCACACGGAGCACCTGCACTCCTGCTGATGTCACTCTCCCTCTAGCACCTTGCTCTTCGTACCTCAGCTGCCTTGACACTCCTCAGTGGCTTCGTGTAACTCCCTGATTAACCAGGCCGTAATTTGCTCTCATTGTATGCATGGGGTTTCCCCGCCTAAGATGCCATCGTTCCTTCATCCGTCTACCTGTGTAAATAGGTAGTAAATACACGACCTTGATCCATACACCATGACCCCCGACCCCACACTCATTCATGCACTCCTGTACACACACCCTCCTTCTTCGCAGTCAAGAAGCACCAGTGTTGCTAGGTAGGGTCACACCTACCTGGGGGGAAGATACAGAGGCTGACAGGTCTGAATCACAACAGCTAAAGCCATCTAAAGCCCACTACCTCATTCGGGGCCTCTAGAATTCTAGCCCAGCATGATTATTGGGTAGGAAGGAGGTGGACAGATGTAGGTGACAGAATGGGCACAGTCGCTTTCCCAGCATCGTTCCAGGCTGCTCCCTCCACTGGACGTTTTCCAAGATGGTTTCTGGCCCATAGCAAGGTCACTGACAAGCCATGACGGCAGGACATTTCTCCCTCCCTCTGCCTACAGTAATGATTCCATTACCCCAGCCGACACTCCATATCGGCCAGGCAGACAGGATCCTGCCTGCAGAGAGATGATCACGGATGATTCGGGATGTTTCCGAAGGGGAGATGACTGAGTTTGACCTCTTCATTTTATGACTGAGGAAGTATGTGCCTGTGGAGATAGGGCTTTAGAGTAGACCCTGGGGTCCTGTCCCACCCGGAATTCTACACTATCTGTGGACCAAGGGACTCTGTCTGTGGCATGACCCAGGCATACCAACATTTGCTCTGTTTTTCACAGCTGGAGGTGTAGGGATCTAGTACGGAGAAGCTCATGTTTACACTTGGAAAACAATTCCTGAGACCTAGTCCCGTAGGCTTGTCTTAGCAGGGTGCATGATGCTCCCAAAAGAATAAATCCTTACTATGGTTGGACACTCCTGTAAGAGTACAGATGGGTGGCTGCCACTTTACCCTAGGAGAAGCAGTGCCCAGATAGCCATTCCTGGGGGAGAGCCTTTCAGGCCCAATGTAAGCCAGAGACAAAGCTGTCCTGGTGTGGAAGATGCCAACAGAAGGCTGCTCAGTGTAGTGGAAGCAGAGGACATAACTAGCAGGGACTCAGGCTGGACGAGTATGAAGCTGATGAGAGTTAAGTGGTAGGAACGAGTTAAGCCCTACTGTAGCCTAGGCTGAGGATAAAATATGGCGTGTCTTTTTGTTGTTGTTTTGTTTTTGGTTGAGACAGGGTCTCTCTGTATAACAGCTCTGGCTGTCCTGGAACTCACTCTGTAGACCAGGCTAGCCTCAAACTCACAAACTCACAAAGACCCGCCTGCCTCTGTCTCTCGAGTGCCACCACTGCCGGGATAATATGTTGTGTCTTATGCCAAGAACCATATCTTAATTGCCTTGTGAAATAGTACCAAAAAAAAAAAAATCGCCTAGTCCTTTCTGTGTATCTGCTTCTGTAAACATGCTTGGTTTTTAAAATTGAGAAAAGCTTTTGCTAGAAGTCTGTAATCATGCAGACTAACATGTAAAGCACACCAATCAGGAAAATGGCCAGAAGGTGACACTGTGCATGGAATACACTGGGCGTGGTGGTACATGCCTGTGATCCCGGTATTCAGGGAGGCAGAGGCAGGCGGATCTCTGTGAACTCAAGGCCAGCCTGGTCTACAAAATAGAGTCCAGGACAGCCAAGGCTACACAGAGAAACTCTGTCTCAACCCCCCCCCCCCCCACCAAAAAAAAAAAAGTACGTGAGACAACGGATCAGGGTCTGACCACTTTTGAGGATTGGCTTGATTTAGGTCATCAGCAGATACAGTAAAGCTAAGTTCTCCATCTCTCCATGTGCAGATTGGTGGTGTTTTGTTTGTTTGGAATTTTTTTTTGGGGGGGGAGGCTGCTTCTCTCACAGCCTGACAAGGTTGAGGGGTTGCTTATGAAGCACAAACAAGTTGGGGTGAAATGGCCAGAGAGGTAGAAATCAGTCTAGAGTCATCATTGTCCGGGTGAGTACAAAGCCTAGATTTGCTTGTAGGTCGAAGGCTTGTAACAGGTATTTTGGAAGTTTTCTTCTGGCTAGGCTCTCAAAGCGGAGAGCTAAGTCAGAAGAAACCTTTCCCTAGAAGCATATAGTCTTGGGAGCTGCTGCTGCCTTCTTCCAGGAGGGGGTGCTGCAGGACAAGCCTGGAACTTGTTTGGCTCAGTCACTCCTGGGCTTTTAGCCACAGGCATGTGCCATAAAGCTCAACTCTCTTCATTTCCTCTAACTGCAAGTTTTTATGCCAGAGAGATGGAAAGGTGTCAGGGGTCTGGATCTAGACTCTGAGAGGTGCTCTCAAAGACCCTGTGTCTCCATAAAAGTATCCCTGCCCCATGTCCCTTACAAGGGCAGCTGGAGCTGAGCAGAACAGTACAGAGACGAGGGCAGTCTTGTTAGCTTCCTACCTGAGGGTAGCCACTGTGCAGTGCCTTCCTCCTCAGGTCAGGCTGAACCCTGCTGCAGAAGGGACCTTGTCTAGGCGTCTGAGAGAAGATTCCCAAGTGCTGCAATAAGGGTGGTTTTAGAGTCAGAGGTTAAGAGTCTTGACCAAGTAACTTTGCTTTTCTAAATAATGGGCATAGATCTTATTTTGCTGTGCAGTCCTGACTGACCTGGAATTCTCCATGTAGACCAGGCTGGCCTTGAACTTGCAGCAGTCTCCCTGTTTCTGCCTCTCCAGTGCTGGGATTTCAGGTGTACAGTACCGTGCTCAGCTCCAGTGGGCATATTAACAGTACCTCTCAGAAGTTAGAAATGACAGGAAATAAATAATCTGCACGAAGTGGTTTACTGTGGGGGCCCAGCATGGCAAGAGCACCCCACCCTTAGTTTACCTCACAGAGACAGTGCTTGAAATCAGGACACCACAGGGAAACGGCCTGATGATTTATTTCTACAAGTGGTGCCAAGAGGAAGGGGGAGGCCTCCCCTGGCCTTTTTGGCAGGGAGCCCAAGATGAGGAGGAGGAAAACTGAAGTTCACTGAAGCTTCACAATCCAGTAGACTGGCAAAGGAAACAAAGGGGGCAGATGCGTCCTTCAACCCCACACCTCGGGCCTGTCCCTGTGTACAACAGCCAGTTAGGCATGGCTGCTGGCTAGCCAGCTGACTCAAATACTGCCAGCTAAACCTGCACCAAAGGGTGGCACGGGCCCCTTCCTCCTTAAGCTCCTCCCCTGAGGAGGAGCCACACCGTGGCTGCAAGGATAGAAGCCTAGGGCTGCAGATGACTCGGCAGTTAAAACTGCTTACTGCTTGGGCAGAGGATCTAGGTTCAGTTCCCAGCACCCACCTCAGGTAGCTCATAACTTCCTGCTCCAGGGAATCTGATGCCATCTTCAGACCTCTTTGGGCACCAGAACTCACGTGCTCTTGCCCACAACACACATATAAATAACAACAAAAAAACCCAAAATGCTTTCATGATGTCCAGCCTAGGGGTCCCAGGCTCTCCTCCTGTCTTCTTAGAACAGCAGGTTGCACAGCAGCCTAATAGGGTACCCTCTCTGCTGAGGATATGTGGTGAACTTCTGAGAGCTGGGCATAAGCTAAGCCATTAGCTCAGAGCTGCCATGTAGCCCATGAGGAAAGGAAAGTAACAGCCAATCTACAGCAATAAACAAGCCTTCCATTATTAAACCCAACCCCAAACAAACGACACACACCATGATGTCACTTTTTTTTCCATTTACTGACATTTCTCAGATGTTCTACAGTCCCCCTTTGTCTCCTCTCTGCCAAGTCAGGGGCCCTCCTCCCTAGAGTATGTGTAATACAGAAATCTTTTCTGTAGGAAGGGCCTGTTCACGTGGGAGGGCGGGTGAAGATCCCTAAGGGATGACCTGTTGTCCTCACCAGTCCTGAGATGCCCTGGTTCAAGATAGGCAAGGTTTTCTGCCATCTCCCCTTAGGATTCAACCAAGCTGGTCTTTATTGGGCTTTCTCATCCTGTCAGATCACAAATCGGGCTGAACAGCACACAGACTGATCTTATACTGGCCCTGCCCACTGGGAGAACCGCAAGGGGCCAGGTGACAGCCCTCTCCTGCACACACTGCTAGCCTACAATATGGCAGCAGGAGTGGCTGCTGCCCTGCAAGTCTGAGGAGTCAATCATGGACAGATGGGCTTTTTCCTTGGCCACCTTCAGTTGGCGCCTAGCCCTGGCCCAGGCTGATTTATTAAACAAAAGACACTGTCTCTGCTATAGCAATCACAGCTCCCAGTTCCCTCCCTGGTTCCTCTGCCCGTGGGAGGAACCTCGTGTGTGGCTCACAGGTTGTTCCGCTGAAGTGCTTCACACAGGTTCTGGTTAGCATCTGGCTCCTCCGTCAGCATCTCCACAGTCTCCCACTCCCCAGAGCGGCTGGATCTCTTAATGGCATCCACCACGCTCTGCATATATAGTCCGTCCTCAAATGAGGCTGCCATAGAGACGGGGGTGCGATCCCAGGTACGGCGATCCCCCTGCCCCTGGAAGGATTGGCGCAAGGCCTGCACCATATAGACCATACCCTTCAAGTAAAGCAATGGGACATCCTGGGGACCCTGCTCCGGAAGCCCCGCACCCACGGCCAGTGAGTCTCTCAGCAGCAGCTCCTCCTGTGCGGCAGAGTTCTTCTGCCCATAGAGGTCAGCTCCCCGGGCAACAAGGCGCCCTGCTGAGCCCACCACCATGACCTCATGCACGAAGGCACCCGGCATGTTGAAGTTGAGTGTCACTGTGCTGCACACCCCCCCACCCATGAGCATCTGGAAAAAACAGAAGTCGTCACTGGTGACATGCCGGATGCCACGGATGGTGGCGTTCTGCCTCACAAAGGTCTTGAGTAGCCCGTGCACCTTCTCGGCTTTCCGGCCAGTCAGGTGGGTCAACAGGTCCACAATATAGGTACCCATGGTGTGCAGGCCCCCACCACCCATGAGCTCATCACATATCCAGCCATAGCTGGGGCTGAGAAGACTCCCGGAGTAGATGCGGGCATCGCAGATCATCACTGCGCCCACATAGTGCTCTGCGATCAGTTGTTTCATGCGCACAAAAGCAGGCAAAAAGCGCAGCACGTTCCCCACCAGGCTCATCAGCTGCGGGTAGTAGCGAGACGCCGTCACCATCCGGAAGGCGTCCACTGATGTCGCTGCCTTCTCACATACCACATTCTTCCCGATTCCTAGGAACAAAAGACAATGGGAAATCTTCACAGCTCCTTGGATGGGGAGAAACCATTTTTTTTTTAATTTTTTTTTTTTTTTTAGACAAGTTTCTCTATGCAGTTTTGGCTGTCCAAGAACTCCTTCTGTAGACCAGGGTAGCCTTGAATTCACAGAGATCGACTTGCCT